GTTATATTTTTTTTTGCCAAATTATTGTGTTTTTTTTAAGTGCCGAGTGGCATAAATTGGACCAAACAACAAAACTTTGATATAAACTTTTATTAATAAATTTGGATTTAATCGGCTATAATTCAGCAACCGAATAACCCAATTTGGACTAGTGACTACCAGACTCAAACAAAGGATACACCCTACAATGACATAATAGACTTAGAGAAAGGATTACAAATAGCAAAGACTTCAAACTAAATGATAACTGGATAACTAGGTCATGAAAAGAAAGTAGTACAAGCTGGTTCAGCAAGGTCTTCTCAAACAAAAGAATCAAGAAGTGGTGTATATTCAAATATGAACAAGATAAAATTCAATAGAAAAAATACAAACAAAAAATGATTCAGTGAATAGAACCTTCACACTGTTGGGCTGGAAAATGGCAGGTCAGTTGCTTCACCAGTCCAAAAATAGAATTATTAAAGGTATATTGAGGCATATAAGATTGATTTAGCCAGGACTTTCATTATTAACAAGCTTCTCTCTTTTTTCCTAACACCAGCTCTTCTCTTGATAATCCCAGGCTATGTCCTATAGTGGCAATTATCTTTTCCTAGATGATGTGTGCTTAAAAAGATAAGTTGTTAATTACAATATTCCTTTTCTAGAATTTCAATTTTACCAATCACTGTGTTTATTAATTGTATTTTTCTATTTCCTTTCTATCCTATTTTTCTATCTCTTTTTCTATCTCACTATCTCTTGTTCGCTTTACAATCATGCGTGTTGCTATTTATATTATTGTTACTATTAGAAAAACAATTAAGAGAAAATAGATCATCAGAGCTAAAACAAATTATGGGTAAGTTATATAAACTTCTATAACTGTATTTTTTATGCTAATTATTAATGCTACTTCATATTTCCAAGGTACGTGACACAGTAGTCATGATACGTGACTATATCTCATGACTTTTATAGAGCTAACAACACTCTTTCATTACAACTGTATGGCATCTGGGCCAGAACAAACTCTTCTTAAGGCCAGCTGTAAATCTACTAACAATTCAAATAACTTCTGAACAGATTCAGCACCAGAAAGCTTAAACAAAGTCAGAGTGAAGGAAAAAAGAATCTTGGATTGTGATCTTCTAAACAGAACATATGGAAACAACAGAATTTCAGAAATAAGAATTCCATGATAGCAGCATTCAAAATGCCACCAGATCATACAAAGAGAACCAAGTTTCAAAAGGTCACAATACTGGACTGGAATATAAACTTAATCAAAAAAACAGTCAGGTCAGAAAATTATAAAGAGGACCTTATAGAAGCCCTGCTCAACAACAAGTATTCAATGCATCCAAACATGGCACAAACAATCTGTTAATATGAATTTTACATAGACGGGTCTCTGCTAAACAAAGAAACAAGCAAAGAGGAGACCAAAATGTGTATTGCATGGATCTAAACCCAAGGGCCCATTTTTAACAACAGATTTCAATGTGAAGTTCAAGACTTGCCATTATCATACAGAGCAGAGGCCACTGCCATTCTGATAGCGATCCTCACAGTTTCAAAATTATATTAACACTTTCACCATGATCTCCAAGGCCAACTCCAAGCTGACTTACAAAAAATGGCTGAAAATAAATAACTGGTTAATTTGACAAGAAATCATAGAAATTACAAGAAAAAAAGATCTCAAGCTTAAGCTCAATAAGGTTAAGCACATTCTGGCAACAAGTATAACAAACAAACAGATCAACTTGCTAAACAAGCAACCCAACTACCAGCAATTGTGTGGCACTTATTAAATAGCAAACACATTCAGATCATTACTATTTGGTACAATAAGATAGTAGACATAGCCCCAAGAAACTTTATCAAGGAAGTTAACAAAACAGTGAATATAAAGACCTGGACAGAAACTAGAAGAATACGACAGCTCTTAGGACAACAGATTGATTAACAAAGGAGCTACACCTGGAAGCAATTTTGAAGTAATATCAAACTTAATAGACAGCCCACGTTTTTCAAAAAATGTAAAAAGAAAAGCTTCTGGATCAAATTGCTGCACAACGAGCTGCCAACATTAGACAAACTCAAAATAAGAAAACTTTGGCTTTACAGTATACATAATAATTGCAAAGTCTGTAACATAAAACCTGAAACAAAAGAACACCTATTTATATGCTCAGGACTTGAAGAATGTACCAGTGAAGCATGGTCAAAAGCCATACAAAGGCTTACAAGAAACCTTAAAAAATCTTGCAAAAACTTAACATATATATCAAAGACAACCAATTTAGATACAGTTATAACATATCTAATACAAAAAGTATTTTAGGAAAAAAATGAGAGACCAAACTTTGCAATTGGACTAATATCAGAGAACCATATTACAAAACTTTGCAAACAAATAAATATCAAAATTACTCAATTCAAAGTCTAGCAACTGTTGTGCAAGACTGTCACCAGTTTCCTCAAGCAATTCAAAAAATTAACATGGAAACACAGATGTAACATCACAATAGCAACTGATCAGACCATAGATCTAAATCTAAAGATCAAAAAAGGTCCAGTATTTTTGCCACTAACAAAACCTAGTTCAGATATGGACCTCAGCTCAGAAGACCATATCCCCAGATTCACAGAAATCAACAATGTCACCAGTGCTCAGTTTTCCAATAATCAAAATAATAAAAGGAAGAAAAGAGGAGAGAAGTCAAGGTACAAGATAGAAGGTTATATAAATAAATTAGACAAGGTTAGGAAACTAATATAAAAGTTCATAGAAAATAGGAAAAAATAGTTAGTGCTTAAATAAAAACTCAATTTGGATTTATGGCACATGGTCTGTAAAGATGATCTGTAAACCTTAACTCTATTAAACAAATGGGATTTTAATTTTAATTAATGGACAAGCAATATATTATCTCCATAAATTGCATCTAGAGACTCTTTGTTACAGATGGATGAGCTGGATCGAGGAAATTTATATACAGAGAGACCTTCCTAAATGCACTTACTATATTTTCTCTTTCTAAATATACGGTCAAGCTTGGTCTCAAGTACATAAAACCATTAATAAAATTACCTCCATAAATGCACACCCTCTATAAATGCACATTTTTCAAAAATTTTCCTATGGTCCCGAAGGGTGTGCATTTAGAGAAGGTTTACTGTATGTAGTTTATATTTGTAATGGTTTATTTTGATTTAATAAATAAATGATACCAACCTGATTGAGGGAAAAAAAATTATATTTATTATTATTATTATATGATTTTTATACTGTATATTTGTTTTTAAGATAAATATTTTTATAATAATATATTTTTTATTTGTAATTATTTTTATTTGAATCTAATAAACATTTGTTTATATAATATTTATATTTATAATAAATATAATACCTAATAAAGTTTAAAATATTAGTTTGTTTTTATAATTAATTTGAAAAAATCCATTGAAATTATAATAATTATTTTATTATTTTATAAAATTATTTGTTTTATTAATTTATATTCTTATTATTTACATTTTTATTTTTATAAATAACTTGACTTTTTTTATCAAAGAATTGTTTTCTTTTATTTAATTATTTTAAATATTAGTAAACCAATGCAATATCTGAACTATACTATTTTGTTATTTTTAAAGTAACCATATATAGTAACTAGCTGTTAATTCTTATACATTATTAATATAATTAATTATTTTTATTGTATTTTATGATTCTATTATCAAATTCAACTTTTTATCAATTTGTACAATTCATTATATTTATGTTATTATTATTAAATTTAACTTTTGTTTTACTTTATTATACTCAACTGCTACTGATTGATTTTTCTTCAATTTACTTGTTAACATATTTGATAACTTTATATTTTTATATAACAAATACGCTGATTCTTTTGGGATTCTTGCTTGCTAATTTAAATAATCTATTCCAGATGTGTCAAAGTAATTATTATTAACAAAAGTGATTGTAACTTCCTCTTTATTTCTATCATTTACTTTTTGTATTATAACTTTTGCATGTTCTTTTCCTTTAAGATGTCTCCTTATTTTTTAAATCAACCTTCTTCACACCATAAGTAGCAAACCCTTAGTGCCTGGCAAATAGTTTCGAGATCTGTTTTTTAAATATTTATATTGGTCATTACTAATAATTAGGTCGTCACTATGCGAGAAAACCAAATAGGAAATCGGGCAGTGAACGTCATAATAATAAAATTATAACAAATCACATGTAAGGTGATCTTCGTCATACTACTGTATAGTAACCCTTGCATAATGCCATTTAGGCACCAGCGCCGGATGTTGAGAAACGGCTGCTACATCAACTTTCCTTTTTTGTGTTGAGGCGATCAATACAATAAACTAATAAATGGACAAAATATTGGAAATACACCAATGATACGGATAATTTATGCTCGGAACACTTCGGGTATAATTGAAACTCAGTATATCACAAGAAAATAGGAAATGAAATGAATTCCCTAATTCTTTAAAAATAAAAATAAAAAAATTAATTAATTAATTAATTAATGAGCTTTAGTGATGATTGCCGACTTTGATTAACAATATATTGGATGCAAAATTTTATGCATATGACTTATGGTAAATAAATTAGGTAGAGTTAATGTCGAGTGGTTTCAGATCTAACCAATTAATATAGATAACGAAAACGATTTTTTTTTTTTAAAGAAAGAAAAATGAATCTAAAACTGCGCGAAGTAATATTACGAAAATAATATACGTGAATTAACTGAACTGTGATCAGCACCTAATTTTTTAGCTTAATGTCAAACTTCATAAAAAGAATCTTTCGTGATCTTAAATGAGTATGTCACGTAATTTGTCAAATCCCAATTTCTTAAATGCATATCCTTAAATCCTTAAACGATTTTCGGTGTGACTCTGAATAACGGAAACCGTTTGAGTGTTCGAAGCGCGCTTGAATACACATGCATAAAATCTGATAAGTACTGAGCAAATAAGAACATGCATGATTTTGACTAGAATTGATGTATCTTACGCTTACGCCTCGAACGATAATTTGAAGTTCAACGGTTGACTGGTGCATATTGCTTGCGGATGAATTTCCGGGCAAGTGAATGAATTACTTTCTAGATCTGCAAATTTTTTTTCCTCAGCTGCGTCAAATTGTTCGGAAAGCAGTGACGGATTTGGATCGTCGCCAGAATTTTACATAATTCAGAAGCGTTTGGACGATTCATAGGATCATGGTCCCAGAAACTAGATATCAGTTTGATGTAAACTTCGGGCGTACCGTCAACCACTTCTAGATGAAGACCGTTGCAAATGTCTTGTGCACATGATAATTCCGAAGCTATAAATGTCAGAAGCTTGTGTATACGGTTTACCTCTTAATACTTCCGGTGCGACGTATGGCAACACTCCGTAAATAGTGATTGTTGACTCCTCGGTCGGGCCATAAAGACCTACGTCAGAAATTCTCGTGTCAATAGACTCAGCTTCATTTTCAACTAACAAGTTTCCGCAGTGAAGGTTTCCATGATAAAGGTTATATTTATGAATTTGTTCCAACCCACTGGATATTCCCCAAAGAATGTCGACGATGTCTCTCCACAGAGGGTTCCCATAGCATAATCAAGGTATTGGTAAAGGTTTCCATTTTCATAAAATCTCATGAAAACGCATAACTACTTGTTGGGTCACGTGTTATTCCGTAATACTGTAATCTGCCAGCGAAAGCTAAATTAAGTTTTATGTAAGTCACGTGATAAAACAATTAAGAGGGTTCGGTTGGTATCACGTACCTTATCTAAATACTGCCTAGAAAGATTTTTGGATTCTTCTATTCTTTTTATGGCAACTTTGGTAGGCCCATTTGTTAACCAGTATTCTATCTCCTCGTCCCATATTCGTCTAGACCCCTCTATCTAATAGGCACAATAAACTGTGCTAAACCCCCCTTGTGCTGAGTACTCAACAACATCAAATTGATTATATGGCATTTATTTGAATCTTCTGGATTGCATGATCGAAGTCTTCCACTTGTCCAATTTGAGAATTTACTTTTCAACTCATCAATCTGGCATATCTGACACCATCCTGATGTTATACGAAACCTGTCGCTCTCGAAACAGATTACATATCTGTTAAGTATTATCTCATAATTATGCGTGCTTACATCTGACCTGTAATAAAAGAAATTGTGAGTACGTGTTCGTGATACCAAAAAAATATATTATTATTGTAGGCTCGAGGAGAAGATTTTTTTATCAACCACTGTCAATTTACTAGTTAAAGAAACCTTTAATAAATCCGTAGTGGGAATGATTAAATAATATATTTTTTGTACGTTCCAAAAATGCAAACATTACACATATTTTTAAGAACTCATTGTTGTTATAGACGCAACTTAATTACATCAGGAAATTTATGGTGCGGAGGTCTCCAGAGTTTTTCATTGTAATAATCAACTAATTAGAATTATTAATACATTAAATTGATAATTATTGTGATTAAAAAAAGGGACCCTTTCGTTCGTCACGTGCTCGATCATATAATTGAAGGGAGGGAGGGGAGAGATGATGAAAAAAAATTATGCAATGTAACTTTCACGGCATTATCTTTCGTCTATCCTTTAGAGACACAACCGTCCCAACCAATGTAGATAAAGAAATACATAAAATCAGTGAAAATTAATATAGAAAACAACATTATAACACTCGGTCGAGTATACGCCTCATAATCTTTTACCTATTAACGGGTTGCTCGAATCTCTGCCAAATTTAGTGAGAACTACGGAGATCACCTAATAAATTTCCTGATGCTAATAGTTTCTTATACCAACCAATTTTTGCTATGATGGGACTTAGATCAATAGTAACATGATATAGTGTAAAAAAACAAATGACACTTACATTTTAGGTCAACTTGATCTTTTCGAAATAAACGTGTTGCTTATATACTTTTTTCACGTATCGCTACACGTGGTTTTTTAACATATAATTGATGCTACGATTTACAATTGAAGAGACCACACGATGCGATCACACTTTACGATTCATAATATAATTATGTATGATGAAATCTTTTATTACATCTATAATACAAAACTACTTTGCCATAAAAAACCTTGAGATTTTTACATGGTGATTGTTCGGTTGATGTTGACTCTTTTATACTTTTTATTATTAAGTGGATATGTCACAGAAATATAAGAATACCAACGAGATAAAGAGGACTTGAAGAATCCTTTTTATTATTTCTAGAAAAATATTGTTCATTTTTTTTGTTACTCCCAAAAGATTATTATCAAATATAAATTTTAACAGGATAAAACAATAAGGTATAATATTAATTTTGAACTAATCCAGGATTGACGTATGCAGTTCTTCTAAATAGAAGCAGCCAGCATATTCATATTTTCCCATAAACCATTAATATACTTAACAAACAACATACTGTACGTATGACAAAATACACAAGATGTAAACTTGCACCAATAAATTTCGGTGAATATGTACAGGGTGCATATGCGCAATTCATACGTATACTGTAATTTGTACAATACAGTAATAGTCCGGAAATCATGCAACATATGTTTTTAAAGTAATTACCTCTGGTTAAAGTAAAAGGGATGGCACAATCCTATATCAGGATTGCAGTTTCATTGAAAAAAAAGGTTGTCCCAATCCTAATCCGGAATGCGGTTTCTTTAAGAATGTGTATAAATATTACAATTTCTCTTGCAGAGGTTTTCGGTAAACAATATCAATAATCTTTTTGGAGAAATGAATCACCAACGCCAAGGAGAATTATCCCTCTCTCAGACAAACATGCCTCTTATTAGTAACAGCAAGATTAATCAAATTCACTTCTACGGTACTTTTCCCCCACAGAGAAATTTAATTCATAACAGCGAAATTCAGCAAATTTATTTCCATCCAAGCATGTCTTCTCTTCCAGACGTGCTATCACAAACATCAACGTTTAATGAATCAGCCGCTCCTTCCCAAGAAGGTCACAAAATTCAGACATTATCAATTCGGCAGAGCCTGTTGTTTCAAGCCAGCCTTCATCCGAGACTAATGAAAATTCAACGATTGAAGATTCCCAAATTACACTTACTGAACAATATGCAAGAGGACTTGCTTCGCGAATGTTTGACTGAAAAACTTTTTGGAAAATTGATAAATTAAATATAAAATTCACAGAAAACATTATATTTGGGATTTCGAGGGTCGAAAGGAGTGTCTTTATAACATACTTGATATTAGTATTCAATTTTGTAGTTTGGGGGCAAAGAAGTGTAAAAATATACAAGATATTGACTCGATTATTTATTATGACGCACTTTAGTTAATAAATACACATTCCTCACCACAATCTACAATACTTCTGTATTTTTTGCGTCAGTATGCTTCTTTTTTATATTAATAAATACGGAATCATTAAAAAACAAAAATGAATATATAATATGTATTATTTGGCCATTTTGTTTATAATTCTTTAATGTTAAAGGAACTAGCAGTATGTAAAGAGCGAAATAAGTAAAAGTTTGAACTTAAAATACGGCATGTAAAAAAAAGTTCCAACAACATACTGTATACAGAATAAATCGAAGTAAGCGTGGACCAGTTAAGTTCGGTTCTCACGCTCTAGTGATCAATTGATGCTCAATAGCATTGAACGCCACATTTCGTATTTTTTTAATTACTAAAACAAGGGGGAGAAAGTAATCGCATGCACGATTCCACCTGGATTTTGTGAAACGTCATATTAGACTACTGTAGCTGCTAAGGTAGATTATCTGTGATAACTTCAATTAATTAATACAACAGCAACATAATTTAATATTCGTTCATTAAATATTCGTATGCCATGTCTATAATTCATGACTCACCAAGTTTCTCGAAAACGGTTAGGTGCACTGGTGACTATACTTTATTCAATTAGAGTTTATACAGTATACGATTATTATCTTCTTTTATCTAGTATATCTAGCAACTTCCTGCACATTATCTTTCGAATTATGTTATGCACAAAAAAATTTTTATACTCCTATATAAAGTTTCACCCGTTCATTTTGATTTTTTTATAACATTAGATATGCACTTCGTTTTTTACAACAAATGCCTTGCAATCTTTAATCGCAAGCAATGAATACTTTGTGGTAGAGACTTGCGATGCACTTTGGAAAACATGACATTGTGCTTAGCGAACTAAAATTGAAGCACAACATCGATGTTATGAAACAAACAAATTAAAATGGAAAATAAATGTTCATGTAGAAGCGATATTAATATAATCATGTTTTTGCGGCTATAGTTAACGAGAGATACTCCGGATTCGGCGAGAACATGCTGGTGAATGGGGATGTTATGGAGCTATTTCATTTTCTGTCGGCTGGTCCACTGGTAATCGGGAAGCGAATTGAGATTAAAAGATAATTTGGGGTGTATAGATCTTGAAAATGTAGCTGTTCCTTTTCCGCTTAAAATTCCGGCACTTTGAGTAAATGATTTTCACACTATTTTAGGATTTACCTGTTCACATATAGAATACTCGCAAGTCAAACTTTATCATGGAACATTAATACTACTCGATAAGATAATATCAAATAATTAAAAGTAAAATTCATATACTGACTTCTGTAAAACAGGTGCATTTTACACGTATAAATTCCAGTGTAATGTTTTGTAGTGGACTCATCAAATAAGGGAGAGAAGGGTTTAAATGATTACACGAAGTAGACAGCCCTATGTTAAGATACTTTACCAGAAAGATAAACCTTGAAAAATCAATTTTTTCGTCTTCTTATTGTTCCACTAAATGTCAAGATACAAGGTCACCGAGTCTATAAGGAAGAAGGATGAAATCACGCTTAATATTTTCAGTATGTCCATATACTGTATACATTCTTTTACTATTTGTCTCTTCATTATTTTGTGCTTTCACTCTATTTTAACTATTCAATTTTCTCTCGTTTATTTTTATATAGAGATAATGTTAATATTTGCGTGGATTAGGTGCTGTCATTATATTACGTATCTCTTAATTTAAATACAGTATATCTTTTATGCAATTCGTTGAATATCAAAGATTAATTCGCCACTGATTAATAGGATTCGTTCTTTATTCAGCCGTTAGAGTTGTTTATACCTTTTCATTAATAAAATTTTTCTATTTTTTACCATAAGTGAAATATTCAAGTAAATAATTGAGTTAAATTAGTATATAAATAATATTGAATAGATGCTTAGACTTTTTTAAACTCGGCCAATACATTTGATAATACGGCTAAACAAAAGATACCTAACTTAAAATTACCAAACGGAACAATGAAATAGTATATAACACTTACTGTACGTTTTGATTTCGAGTCTCCCAGTTGCGCGTTAGTACTGTAGAAACATTGTCGGAAATAGTCGTATTCGTGTTTTATTGCATCTAACTATGAGTTAAATAATTGATAATATCACAGTATCTATTAACTTTCGGTTATGAGTCTCCTGAGGAATTATACCGTTAGGCACAATATTTATTTTAAAAAGCTTACGTCTGATTCATGTTAACATCTAAAAAAAAAAAAATCGAATTTCAATATAGACGTATAGCTTGAAGAGTATAGAATAAATAATAATTTATAATTTATAAAATCTAGAATTTTTGAAAAGAATGACATGTAAACTAAAGTTTTATTGGAAAAAATGGTAGTTCTTCATATCAGATATTCGTTCTTTAGGACATATGCGATAAAATAGTAAAGGGTGGATAAAAGAGAAAATGTAAAGCTTAAAAAATTCAAAGAAACAAGGAAGGCCGAGTTAAAGACATGCTTAGCTACACTAGTGTAACACGGGAAAAGGTAACGCGCCTCCAATGATATTGCCGCAGAAACCAGCAGTATCAAACACAACAGTGTGATAGAAAACTAGTGCAAGTCGGAAAAAGGTGGAATGCCCGAAAGTAAGTTAAATCGCGATGGTTGTCACGTGACTTGATCGTGCAAGGATCGATCATGGCACTATGGGTCGATTTAATAAATCATGTAATGTGAAAATTATCTAACAATCGTTACATCATGAGATTTCAGTATTTCAGCTTAATTAGCACACGCAATTATTATTATGTAATTATAATGTAAAAAGGTATAAATAGAGAGCAGAATTTAATAAACAAAAGGCCAATATCAAATCCGCGGAGCCCTTTAAAAACACTTATCAATTGTTACGCGAGTTCTAACTATCATTAGTAACAGACTCACCGAGTACCGTTACACTAGGTATTCAGCCTCGGAAAACCTCAGCCTTCATAACGATTTTCTGGAAACATGTCTCCGCGCCATGTTAGCTTGAAGGGCAAAGATAATATAATACCACTATTACAATTATACAAACAAAAGTACGTTATGTACTATATATAAACTAAAAATATAAAAAATAAATTTTTTATAGTTACTTATACAATTATTAAATTTAATAAATGGGTAATTATTTTTAAAGGTGAATCAAAATTTAAGGTATATATCTATAACCCTAAAATTATAACCCTAAATTTCAAATCATGTGATATTGATAATTATGTG